CTCCCTTCCTTTTTATTCCATCCTATTTTCCCATCCCTCTTTTTTCCAGCTTTCTTCCTCATTCCCACTCATTCTCTTTATTCCCCTCTCTTTTCCCACTTTCTATCTCTATCTGCCCCCTTTAGTTCTCTCTCTATCTTTCTCAATCTTTCACTTTGTTTCTCATTTTATTCTTCCTCTTCCTTTTTTTTCCATCACACTTTTCTTTCTCTCTTTCTGTCTTTTCTCTCCTCAATCTTTCTCAGTCTCTTTTCTATTTCTCCCTCTATTCCTCTCTCCTTTTATTTCTTTGTCTTTATTTCTTCCTGCCTCAGTCTCTTTCCCTCTCTTCCTTTCTTTTCATACTTTATTTTTACACTTTCTTTCTTTCTTTCTTTCTTTCTTATCTCTTTCTCTCTCTGTTTCCTTTTTCTTTTAATCTCTCTCTGCCCCCTTTGCTTCCTGGTCCGGTCTTTCACTTTGTTTCTTATTTCTCTCTTTTTCTCATTATTCTAGCCTATTTTTCTATCACACTCCTTCTATCTTTCTCTCTTTGTGTCTTCCTCTGACTCATTTCTATTTTATTCCATTGCTCTATTCATTTGTTCTTTATATTCTAACTCTAGCTCTTTTTTATTTCTCTTATCTCACTGTACCTCTCTTTATTATCTTTCGTTACCTCACACCACTTCCTCTTTGTTCCAGCCTATTTTTCCATCACTCTATTTCTTTCTTTCTTTCTCTTTCCATCTATCTTTCTGTATCATTTCTGTTTCTCCCTTTCTGTCTTTAGTTCTTTCCTTCTTTCTCTTTTTCTCCCTCTCATATATTCACACATCCCCATGTATTTGTGTGTGTGTGTGTGTGTGTGTGTGTGTGTGTGTGTGTGTGTTTATCATCTTTCCTGTAAGAGCAGCTTCAGGAATTGAACTGTCATCTCATGGAAGGGAGTAATCTAAACATCTAGAACATTTAGAATAATTTAAACACACACACACACACACACACACACACACACACACACACACATACACACACACAGAGTAAGCAAACAGTCACCTTATTCCTTCTTCCACTTCTCCACACTGTTTGATAATTTGACTCTCATCACCCTGCTGCTTTTTTTGTCACAGCTGTAGTCAGGTTCCAGATTCTTATTCAAATAAACAAACAAACAACGTAAACCTAACCACAGATAAATAGCTCGATAGCTCGATAGATAGATAGACAGATAGATAGATAGATAGAATTGTGTGATGAGCTGAATATGGCAGGTTGTTTAAGAAATGTATAATGACACTAAATAATAGATAGATAGATAGATAGATAGATAGATAGATAGATAGATAGGATTGTGTGATGAGCTGAATATGGCGGGTTGTTTAAGAAACGTATAATGACACTAAATAATAGATAGATAGATAGATAGATAGATAGATAGATAGATAGATAGATAGATAGATAGATAGGATTGTGTGATGAGCTGAATATGGCAGGTTGTTTAAGAAATGTATAATGACACTAAATAATAGATAGATAGATAGATAGATAGATAGATAGATAGATAGATAGATTTTAGTCTGGTGTTCATCATGAAGGGGATAAAGTTCTATTTCACTATAATGGAGTTTATACAAATGTTCTTTTGTATAAAATCTACTGGCCGTGAGAAAAAACCATGCCCTATAGTCGAATCTGTCTGATATAAAAGAAAATAATAAATAAAATAATAAAAGAAACTCTTAACTGGCAAACCTATTCCTGATGTAATTATATTAGTGTTTGATAAATGATGAATTTCAGCCTTTCGGAGCGCTAACCGAGCTTCAGAGCCGACTGTCTGCTACAAAACCTCTGGATTTGAAGTCCCCGGTGCACAGCGTGTAAGGCTTCGTTAACTTTTCTTTTTATCGAGTCCATGTCGATTGATTTCACTACGGACGCAAGCCGACTTTTTTAGGGGGAAGAAGGTGGATTCGCACAAAGCTGCTTTCACAGCTTGATTGACGTGACGCATGGAGCTTTAATTAAAATTTCACCCGGACGTCTAATGGAAAGTCCTTCGGGAACTGCGCAGAGAGCGAGACAGAAAAGAAGAAATTCACCAAATCTCTTCTTATCTGCTGTCCATTAACACGCTCTGGGATGGAAATGTCACAGAGATTAAACTCGCTTCAATCCTGTTACCAGACTTACAAAACAAAAGGTGACTTTTTAGATCTAATTTAGATTTAGATTGATCTAATTTAGATATTAACATATAATAACATAAATTCCTGATTTGTTTATGATTAGTTCTTTATGAAGGAAAACGCAGGCTTAACATGTCCATGTAACAGGAACTTGATCACAGACTGTGGCCCTTTTAGTCATCGTATTAGCATCTGTCTCAGGTTATCTGATCCCAAATGGACAGTCGAGATAGACAGATGTTTACACATGCCATTTTTTAAATTCCCGATTGCGTCTCCAATGACGACGTTTGATCAGATTTCGTGACCAGCCCTACATTTACTAGGTGGTGCTTTAATGTTGTCAGTAGAGGTTGTTAGTACCAAGCTAAATTTAATCTTAGATATATTTGAGTAAAAATTGGCGTTGATTTTCAACCAATTCTTTCCCCCAATCTAGCCGTTGCAAGTTATCTAGGTCATCTCCTCGTATTACACAATATGTACTAGAGGTGTTGCGCAATGCACTGCGATCTGTATCCGTTAACGTTCCAAATACCTATATGTTAATCTGCGTTCAGATTTAAATCCCAAATGGGCATAGCCTAAAGCAGAACTTTATTTCTTTTTAAAATTGATGAGAAAATATGTATCATCAGGTTATAACTCAGCTACATCAATCCAGTTTGTAACTGATCTCAACTAGAGATGTGTGCAGGACTGTCATGCGCTTATTATTGTGTTTAACAAATTCAACAAATTTTAGTTGGTTCAATTTTTCAACATACTGTATAAAGAAACTAGTCTCCTAATTTAAACCACCACAATCCTGACCAGGCAGTTACTAAGGATGCTGCAAATGCATCATGCAGTGCTGCAGGTTCATGTTAATGAATGTGGTCTTTCTTTGTCTCACAAGCTTCATATCTGACCGAATGACTGTAAAAAGCCTCGTCTGATGCTGGTCTGGTCTGATCACAAATCTCAGTTGCTCTGTGACACTTTTACAAACAAACAAAAAAACAGAATAGGGAGCCTCCTATTTGTATCTGTATTTGTTTAGAGCATATGATCTGTTCATTCCGAATAATGTCTTCATATTCTGTCACATCCATAATACTTACTAATCCAAGAGAATTATACTGTAGCTAGCATGCCTTAACTCTTAATTAGCTCCATATCTACATTTTTGTGCCATACACACACACACACTCACAGCACAGATTGACTCTGACAGCACACAATGTGTAAGTTACGTGTGAAAGCGAAACATTCTCATATAGCTTCCCATCTCAATTAGCAATCTGCATGATGTAACGTTTTATTGGAGTTTGTGTCAAAGTATGATTAGCGCAGCGAGGGAAAGGGCAATATATGCAGTGAGAAAAAAGTTTTAGGTTGAGGTAGCATCAGGTGTTGAAGCCGAGAGGGAACCTGTGAAAAGCTGTAAATATCTTCATATCTAATTATAATATTGAAAAATTACCTCCTGAGAGAGAAGTGTCATCATACACTGTTCAGAAGTTTCAGATCACATGTCAAATCATGGCTTGAACATTCATTATATTTCCTGAAATTATACAATTAGGAGCTAAAGAATTTAAACCAAACTCCAAACAGTATTATTTGTATTTAGCATTAATACAATATAGTTCTTGATGCAGTACAGCGTTCTTTCTCAGTCTAAACAGGCATTTTATCATGTTATCCAACAACTTATATGAATCCTGTTAAGTTACAGAGTTGTAGCACAGCTAGTAGCTGTGCCTATAACATAGATCTGGTCAAACATTTTAATCGCAGTTTTAAATCAACACAACGCATATGCTGAAGATGTGACAACTTCACAAGCTTACGTTGATGCTGATTCAGCTTTGAATCACATTTGGTTCTCAGGCAAAAAGAAAAAACAAAAAAAAAGGAAATATACACACTCTGGTGTGACTCTGATTTATGCACAAAAATTGTTTATATGCTAAATTGTGTAAAAAATGTTAACCATTTTTTAGCTTTAAAAATCAGTTAAAAAAAAAAAAAAATCCGTCTTGTTGTGCCCATGGGAAATGAGGGTGGTAACATAAATCAAAAAGACTAGACGTGGATTTATTGTTTTCATGCTCATGTACTGAAATACAAAAAGGAAGCTCACTCCTGGAGAAATAGCATCAGGGTGAGTAACGGCAAAATGATAAAGAAACCGATATTTCTAACTGAGATTTAAAAAAAAAAAAAAAAATGCTGAAATGACCAAGCTAGAGTTCACAGTCGGGCACAGAGCTAAAAATCAACAAGGTACACAAGCTAGCATAAAGTTAACTCAGCTGATTTAATGGGCTCAAACCTGCCACCATTTACACCGGGCCTCTTCCCTTTATATTCTTCATGTGTCATGGCGACAATCTATCACAGTACTAAATGCAGATTTCCTCTGGCTAATATGAAAGCTGCAGTGGGTCATGGTTGGATCTTCCAGCAAGACAATGATCCAACAAAACAAGCTTTTGACATGGCCACTCTAATCCTCTGAATTAAACCTTGTTGAAAAACTGTTAGGTGAAGATGAGTGTCCAGGGGAGTGGACCAAGGCCTCTGGAGGATGTGGAGAGATTCTGCATTGAGGAGTTTCCCAGATTCCTCACTACATATCCTCCAATCTCATCACGCATTGTAGTGCTAAATGCACTTGTACCAATAATTGTGGATTAACTGGCATAAAGCTACCCTGTAAAAAAAATTACTTTAAATATTAGAGTAATTTATGAGCAACAGGTATAAAACAACACATAATCATGTCAGTTGATGCAGGATATAACTGAGCTGAAGGTTAAGGGTAACGTTCAAGGCCCCAGCCATGGCAGTGCTGGGACTTGAACCCACCAGCTTCTTGTCTATAACTCAAAGCCTTGACCACTGAGCCACCACAACTAACTCAACTACCATGCATCAGTCTTTAAGTGCGACTTAATTCAGTGCGAGAAGTGGTTGAATCAACGCACTATTTTTTTCACCCAAGGGTGCCAATAATTCTGGAGCTGAGTGTAGATAGAGAGATGCAGAGAGAGGGGGAGAGATTGAGGGAGAGCAGAGAATGTTAATACCTTCCAAATCTATTAACACACTGGGAGATTATACAGTTTAAACAGTCAGCTAAATAAAAAATGACGTTTTGCTGTTTGCGCTCAGTTATAAAAAAGCAAAACATATATAAAAACCTCTGTTTGTGTCGTCTCGATGTCAGAAAATAACACACTTCGAGTCGTAGCGTTCTTTCTCTTGACATCCAGTTATTTCTGTTGAATTCTGGATTCTGACTGGTCAGAAGGTGTTGATTAATTTTCTATAACAGCAGCTCTGACAGTAGTGCAGCTGCAACTCACAGGTTAATATTAATGCCCTCGTTATAATGCATGATCGTTTCTATAGTAACAGGGAATCCACAGGAACGCTGCACATAAATTGATTAAAAAAACAGTGTGTGTAAATATTGATATGGTCAAGTAAGGAGTCTCCAGTGTCAGTGCTCTGTAACAAACAGAGGTAAAGCTGTAGCTTTAAGTTTTCCAACATATGAAAGTCTTCAGGACAGAGGAGTTTACGCTTTGAGGTTTCTCGCTATAATCATCTCGTGTAATCACACTGTTGATTATTTTCCTGTACAATACAGAGTCTTTTATTCATCATGATGTATTAGAAACTGCCATAAGTTTTCCTAAGATTTCAGAAGTGATCATCTTGTCACATGCCTAAACCAGACCGGAAACCTTAAAACATCAAACCCTAACGCAAGACAAAGAGATTCTTCTTGAGTTTCTGCTTCAGGAAGAGGAAAGGAAAAAAGCTAGACATGGCGATAAGAAAACATGTCATAGCTACACAATGGCTGCTGTAGCCCTGCTGCCTGATGCTGTCGACACACACTGCTGTTTCTCAGAGACGTCCGCAAACATCCGTACACTCGCCGAGTGAAGATGTCATCAGTGTGTGTAGAGAGCGCAATCGCACACATGTACACCCGGTGTTTATCGGAGGTTTGCTTTGTGTTGTCACTTTGAGACATGTCATAGAAGTGTGTCACTTTGTGCTTTCACTGTGCTTTCTTATGGAGAGGCCAGAGATCAGAGATGTGGGGAAAGTACGTATGGGCATATCACACACACACACACACACACACACACACACACACACACACACACACACACACACACACACTATCCATCTTGTTCACACTTAAGATGATTTTTTTGGTCATTTTAACACCAACGTAAACATGCTTTATGCCCAGAGTTGGTAAAACTGAAGCTAAAGCAGCTCAAACAGAGTTTTTTTCAGCGTCAGCAAATAAAGTTCAAAACTTTCCGTCAATATTTACGCAGGGGAATTAAGACGAATTTCTGGGCAGCGCATTTCGTTTCTTAAAATTACACACACGCACCTCCTGCCTCCGGGGTTGCCAGAAAGCAGTTTGCATCTTTTTTCTTTGCTGTCACTTGCAATATGAAGCACCATAAAAGCAAACAAAAAAAAAATCAATGGACCACAAAAAAAAAAATCGTGGCCTCTACAGAGATGATTCATATTTAATAATCCCCTTGAATGCCATTCCCCAATGTTTGAGTGTATTTACAGTCCAACAGCATGAAATATTGTGGTTACATCAAACTGTCAGTGTTAGTGGCAATCCTCTCACACTCGAGTCAATATTACACAAGAATACAGACTTAAGTCAGGATCACACACAACTGACACACATCTCTGTTCTCAGTAAACTCCGCCTGCACGCACACATCTCATGCAACTCTCAGATATCTCTCGAGTCCATAGTTACGTCTGAGGTCGGAATACCAATAAGTCCAATTTGATTATTAGCTCTTCACTTGTAACTCGACCCTGAATACGGCCCATAGTGCATTTACGTCAGGTTTTTGAATTATGAAAATCAATCTGTTATTCGGTGAATCTGTCCTTAACAGCAACTCTACATTTTCTGAATGCTCCAAACTGACATTGTAGTTAAAAAAAGTGACCGCATGAATGACTTCTGCAATTAAAAATAGTCTAGAAACTGAATGATTTAACTTTGTCTGTTAAACATCCCATCTCATTATATAGAAACGACCGCATTATAAACGGCATAGTTTTGGTTTGATATCTAAAAGATGTTATGGTAGTGTGTGGGTTTCCATACGAACGACCAACTGCCAAGTCCTACTCAAAGAAAATGCCTTCATCTTGTAATTACTGTGAATCCGACACACCAGGCTACGTCGAGGACTGATGTCTGTGGTCAAATTTTAGACTGGATCTTCTTTAGCAGCGTATTGGGTTTTTTTGGGGAATCGATACACACCAGAAAATAACAAATGAGGCTGAGACAAAGAGCACCACAAAGCAGAGATTACATTACTTTTAATATTTTGGGACATTTTTGTGCCATTATTTGTATCTCGGTTCCACCACGCCTACAAATAAGTCAGGTTTTGAATGTGTAATTGGTAATTAGTTCCTTCTTAATAAATAATCTGAAAATATCAACTATTGTCATGTTGTTCAGGTAACGTTCTAGTCCTCCAACTCCATTGGCTACCGTTATATGACTCTAGTGTGATGTAAAGGATTGATGTGCACACCTGTCAGCCAATCAGAAATGACTATTTACCTTGGCCCTGGTATAATGTTGTATACTGTGCACTACGATATATGGCAAATATGCTATGATATACGAGTGTGAAATAAAGTGGAAGTCAGAGCCATAAGTGAAAAATGGGATTTTGTGTGTGTGTGTGTGTGTGTGTGTGTGTGGGCGAGTTCAAAAGAAAGCCAGAAATCAGATCCATCACACAGAGCCTCTATTGTTTCCCTCATTGAGATGGATTTGGCGTTAAGTCTTCATCCGTCCCACCATCACACTGAGCTGACGTGAGGTTCCATCTGTCTTCACACACACACACACACACACACACACACACACACACACACACACACACACACACACACACAAAATCTGCATCACCAAATAGCCAAATAAATGGGCAGATATTCAGAGCTGACCGCATTCATTTGCGTCCAAAAGCATGGGTGCACTACCAATAACTGTTTTCATTTCATCCATTCTCGTAATTTTGCCAAAGATTTGTACACAGTGGAAAAAAGAAAATTGTACCCCAAATGAATTGACTACAAGAAATAATTTGGTGTCTGAAGTTTGCTTTAGTTTTGGCTAATGTAGAGAACAGGTAGGCCGAGCTTTTAGCAGGCAGTTTAGAGGCATATACACTTAGAGGCATATACACTTCTCTAAATTATCACTGACTTCATTCAGCTTTGTTGTGTTGTTGAGAATTTAAAGCGCTGTTATCTATAAAAATAGACAAAACCATGCCATAGAGTTTAAAAAAAAAAAACAGTCATAGTTGAATCGTTTTCTAGGAGGAGTGCACATGCTGTTCCTCACACGGGGCACCAATAAGTGAGTGCTGTGCTGTGCTGTAAGTAAAGTAATAAAACCCTCAGTGCCATGCTGTTATAGGAAAATAATCAACAGTGGGGTAGTGTGATGAAGCAGAGTTACCGTTACCACCTCGGCGTTAATAATTCTCCTATAATGCCACGTCCAAAAGTGTTTTATTCCTCTTACAACACAGCAGTTTGCTGAGGATAACCATTTATTTATTTATAACCGTTATTCTTGCTTAGGATTTACTCCTGGAATTAACTCCTACTTCTCACCAGTTGCTCTAAGAATCTTTATAACGCATTTTAGCTCGCAGCTTTTAACTAAGAACACTCCTAAGGGTAATTCTCTAAAGCAACTTTGGTCATGAATGATGGAAGACAAACTCAGGGCTTCAGTGGTGTTTCAGGATTTTGGCTAGTTGTATCTGTCAAACCCGAGAAACAAATAAAACAACATGCACACCATCTATTACAGAGTCTCTGGGACTCAGCTAGGTGCTAAGTCATAATCAGTAATTGTGTTTTCTCCACAAATTCCCCACAGGAGTTGAGAGAGGCTCATCAGGGAGAGCAAGATTAATTGAATTCACACTCGTTCTAACCAGAGCACACTTCTGCACTTCACTAATCATCCGATATGAGCTCTTCATCTCGCATTCATATCTCTAATAAGTCCCTAATATGAGCCTCCTGTTTCCAAGCGCTAACCTTCAAGAGCCGGCTTTATTTATTCATTTGGGGAGCGGCAGAGCCGGGTGGAGAGAGAGAGAGAGAGAGAGAGAGAGAGAGAGGGGAAGAGAGAGAGAGATGAATCAGATGTAATCAAATAAAGGTGGAGACGTTCATCACTTGGTAAAGATGACATTTAAAGGCGAGCTGGTGTGTGCTCACTGAATTAGCTGGAGTCTCTTTGCATATTTCACTTTCTCTCTTCCTTCTGGCTTTCTCTCAGTCTCATTAACTGTTTTCTTCCAAAAATATATTTTTAAAACTCCTAATACAATAATTATAACAACTAAAAAGAGAGGTAAAAGACTGAGTGATCTAAGAGGATTCCCACTCCCTCATTTATTCTCTATTCATGTCTTCATCCTTTGCCTTCACCTTCATTCTGTATTTTATTTTATTTTATTTTTTAACGAATACTTTAAGTCGTATGAGAATGATTAAGCTGAACTCCGGTCTTAATTAGCACCAATCTTAATTTAAATACTGCTAATCTTGACCTCTGACTTTTTTCTTATCCCCCCCCCCCCCCCCCCCCCAAACTCTCATTTCTTCTTCAACATCTTGACTTTCTGTCCGTTTTTAGCGTTTATGGCTGTCTCGATCAGAGCGAGCCGTATCTGTAATGAGCACAAGCATTAAAGATTGCTCAGTGGGACTAAAGCAAGAACATTAGCCTGAAGAGTGTGTGCTAGCTAAAGCTGGCTTATCACTGAGCACGCTGGATCTCAATTTATTTCCTCGTC